ATGTTAAATTGACATAGGGAATGTATTGATTTTTTATACTAATCTCAAATAACGTAGTGTCCGCAAGCTATCTTTAATTTTTAGAGCATAAGTCAAATAATCTGGATTATTTTAATCAAAAAAATCTTAAGTAGGATTTTAATAGATGATTTTTATGCAAGTTTGTTGTGAAAAATCTATCTTTGATTTTAAGAATATAAATAAGAAAAATTGAAATTTTGGGTTAATAAGCTTTAGTTCAAACTTAAAGTGTCTATTTCTAAATTTAGGGGCCAAAGTTCTTTGTGGATTTTCAATATTTCCGAAATTAAGGTAGTTTTATAAAATAGAGGTTCTTAAGAAGTAGTTAGGCTAATTTAATATAGCATTGTGAATTAAAAGAAATAGGGTTCCGCCATCTAACTTTAAATTTGAATTTTTTCCATTGACCGAAAATTTAACTAGGAAGATCCAAAACTATTTAGTTAATAACTGAAGACCGCAAGAATAATAAATCAGCTATTATTCAGTTCATCCCCTATTAAATTTTGAATTTCATCTCCTATTACATCCCCAATTTCTTTCATGACTTTTGATTTCGAAATTTTAAAATGATAATTTGAATCCTATTCCATCTTGCAATTTAATTATTTATATATCATCAAATATTTCATCGCCTATTCCATCTCCTATTTATTTTTTAATTCTATCTCTTATTTTATCACATAAATTTCATTCCCAATTTTATTTCATTACCTATTCATTTTTTGTAATTCATCTCCTATTTTATAAACTGTATCTCATATCCTATTTCATTCCTTTTCCTTCATCTATTTCTTTGCCTATTTCATCACCTAATTCATTGCCAATTTCATTGTCTAATTCATCGCCTATTTCATCACCAAATAGGGATTCCCAATTAGGGTTTACTCAAAATTGTAAATTTTTTCATGACCCCGACCATATTCCTGGCATCTTAGGGTCAATTTTATGTCAGTCTTAGCCAACCAGAAATAATCAAATTTTCAAATCTTTATATACTTTATATTGTCTTAGACTCACGGATTATAATTAATTGTATATCTATCGAATAATAAAATAGAAAATTATATGTTTTTTTATGAAAATACTAACAATATTAACTTAGAATGTTGATGATAATCAAATTGATTGAAATTCAAGATAGCTTTCTAAAATGTAACTTCCTTTAGATTTAAATAATTATCTTAAATCTATGCCTTGATAATTAAGATATTCGCCTTTGAAGATTAATGCTGCTTATGCTTCTAAATTTAGGTTTTAGGATATTTGAAGAATAGTAAAAATGCACTAAGCTAAATAACAGCGAAAAAATAAATACCACTTTCAGAATGAAAATTGCTTTAAACAACGGGGAGTCTAAAATCTTCTAGAATATCTTTGTAACGATTTTCTAAAGGTAAGATTTATTAAACTGTTTGTACATCCCATAGATGGATTTATGTATAATTATTTCCATATGCCAATTTAGTACCATCAGAGGAGAAATAGACTGAATAAACAGTTTTTGTATGGCCATCTAGTTTAGCTTTTTAATATCCTGTCTTAACATCCCAAAAACGGATAGATTTATCATAGCTGCCTGATGCTAATATAGTACCATCAGGAGAGAAACAAACTGATATGACAGAATCACTATGACCCTCTAATTTGGCTTTTTAATATCCTGTTTTAACATCCCATAATCGGATATAGTTATCTACACTACCAGATGCTAATGTGCAACCATTAGGGGAGAAACATACTGAAACAACAGAATCACTAAGACGAATTTCTTTTACTTTATATTATCCAGTCAGAACTTCCCATAATCGGATGGAGTTATCTGAACTCCCAGATGCTAATGTAGTTCCATCTGGAGAGAAACAAACTGAAATAATATAATGAGTATGACCATCTAATTTGGCTTTCTAGAATCCTGTATTAACATCCCATAAACGAACAGACTTATCATCGCTACCAGATGCTAATGTATTGCCATCAGGAGAGAAACAGACTGTATTAACTGGATATTAATGACCATCTAATTTTGTTCGTTATTATCCTACTCTAATATCCCATAAGCGAATAGAGTTATCATTACTTCCAGATGCAAGTGCACTACCGTCAGGAGAGAAACAAACTGATATGACTAAATTGGAATGCCCATCTAATTGAGTTTTTAATTATCCAGTCTTAACATCCCATAAACAAATAGAGTGATCATTGCTACCAGATGCTAACGTAGTACCATCAGGGGAGAAGCAGACGGAATAAACAAAATTAGTATGACCATCTAGTTTGGCTTTTTAATATCCTGTATTAAGATCCCATAAACGAATAAAGTTATCATGACTACCAGATGCTAATGTAGTACCATCATAAGAGAAACAGACTGAGACAACAGCATCGCTATGACCATCTAATTTGCCTTTTTATTATTCCGTCTTAACATCCCATAAACGAATAGACTAATCATCGCTACAAGATGCTAATGTAGCGCCATCGGGAGAAAAACAGATTGAATACACAATATTAGCGTGCCCATCTAATTTGGCTTTTTAATACCCTTTCTTTACATCCCATAAACGGATTGAGTTATCAACACTACCAGATGCTAATATAATACCATCTGGAGAGAAGCAGACTGATAAAACTGAATATTAATGACCTTCTAATTGGGCTTTTAATTATCTTTTCTTAATGTCCCATAAACGGATAGACTTATCTCTACTGCCAGATACTAATGTATTCCCATCAAGAGAGAAACATACTGAACAAACAGCACCAGTATGACCAACTAATTAGGCTTTTTAATTTCCTGTTTTAATATCCCATAAACGAATTGAGTTATCATTACTACCAGATGCTAAAATACCTTGAGGTGAGATGCTGACTTAGTAGACAGCACAATTATGACCATCTAATTTTGCTTTTTATTATCTTGTCTTAAGATCCCATAAACGGATAGACTTATCCTAACTACCAGATGCTAATGTATTACCATCAGGAGAGAAACAGACTGAACAAACAGCGTTAGTATGACCATATAATTAGGCAATTTAGCATCCTGTTTTAATATCCCATAAACGAATAGAGTTGTCATTACTACCAGATACTAATATAGTACCATCAGGGGAGAAGTTGACAGATCTTACAGAGTTACTGTGACCATCTAATGTATTTAACTCATGTATTTTTACATTCTTCCATATACAATTGAATAATAAAGCTCCATTTACATTTATTCCACTAATATCTACATTATCAAAATTAGATCCATTCAAATTGCATCTTACCATATTTGCACCAATTAAAGAAGTATTCCTAACCTTAATATTCTCAAAATTTTCTTCTCTAATATCAGCCTTCATCTCTACCAATAAATTGAGGGAATTTGATCCGCAATAAATAAATCTTTCATCAATAGCTGTTAGTTAAACTAAAAATTTTAAAAATCTAACAATTTTTTCTTCATTTGCTATTTTATTAATTAAATTCTTCCTAATTTATTCATATTACTCTGTAGAGTAATTCTAACTATTAAAATCAATTTCGCTGATATTTTTGATTACATTAGTAAGTTATTTCACTTTAGGCGAATCTCTATTCTTCATATTTGAAAGCCCTTCTATAATATTTTTGATTTTCTCTTTTCTAAGCAATTCAATAATGTCATTAAAGAATAATTCATCCATATATTTTATCTGTGCCAATACCTCATATAAATCTTCCTTTCTTTCATATTCTAATACTATTTCTTAAATTCTAGAAATATAATTTATACTACTTTGTTATTGATTTAATCTCCAGTATTTCTTTCTTTAGCTTTTCACTAAAAGCTTTAGCTTCCTATTCCCACCAAATCTTTTCCTTCTCCAATTTATACAAATAAGAATTTTTTCTATGCCATCCATTCATCTAATGGTTTCCCTTCTAAAAGCGATACTAATTTTTCTAAGTCAGAATAGGAGGATTCAACTACATTAGTGTTTTCGTTGATAAGATTAGAAAATGATTTATTTTTTTGTTCAATCAAATCATAGATTTATTTGATTGATTCTGATACCTCTTCCCAAATTTTTTTCATTATGCTTTCAGTTTGAGTGAGCATCAATTTAAAATTCATTCTCTATTTTGTAATTTCAGATGATTCATCTAGCTAATATTCTTGTAGTTTCTTAATAACCATTTCTTGAAATATATTGATTGGAACTGCATGTTTGAATTCAACCCCATGCTTATATAGGCATTCAGCACACAGTTTCCTTTAATGTTAACAATTATGAGGGGCTATACATATAAATGATAAAGGATTTAGAAGATGATAAATGCAATTCATAATTTAATAATAATATTGAAGTTATTTACTTTATTTTATACCTTATACTTTAATTCAACAAGAATCTTATTTCAAAGGAAGACGAGACTTTGAAAAGATTTGGAATCGATTGTGATTTATTTAAATTATTCGTATAACATTTGGATATAAAGAGGTGCGCTTTAATAAGTTCAATTGTCATTCTTTTTTGATGGGTTTTGCATATTTTCATTTTGAAGTACCCAAGGGATCTTCCTAATTTTAAAAGTTTTTGCTCCTCTTTGTATTGGTTTAATAGCCTCATTTTTCTCATATATTAATTAGTTCATTTATTTAAAATAATCTTCTTAATTTAATTCCATATTGTATTTTCATATCTATTTCTTTTTGTACCCATTAATCTCTATTATCCCATTACTTGTCTTAAGATCTTCAAGCCTTTTCTCCATTTATAAGGTATTCATTTTCCCCTCTCTTTCTCCCCCTCTAATTCCTTCTTAGATACCAACTGTCAAGCATTTTTTATCCTATTAGGTCATCCATGTTTCAGCTTATCATTTTCTAACACCCTATGAATTTAGATATTGTTTCTTTTGGGAAATTCTTTCCCAAAGTGACGGTCTTCCTAAAAGAATTTTTTTAGGATCTCCAATTATGCAATGAGAGTTCCTTAAGCATTGCTTACATATTGTATCTAATTATAGAATGCATTTTCTCCATATCTTGTTAAAACAGAAAGAGGAAATCTTCCTAAAGTATATTTATCTCTTTTCCAATCCTTTTGAGTTCTTTCAATTAGATATAGATTTTCTCTGATGTTAATCCGTATTGCAAGATAAATGAAGAATTCCACTTCCTTAAAGCCAATTTCTTCTATTTGTTTAATTTTTTTCAAGCCATATACACCATCCTTTTTTCATTCACTATACGATTGTCTCATCTTGCCCATCTCTAATTATTTTGAGATTTTCTAAAATATTTCTCCTTGGCAATAACTGTTACATCTTTCGTAGACCCAAAAATCCATTCTCCTAGCCAAACAAGAGAGGCCTCAGAACAAAACCTTGGTGCACTCCATTCTATTTCCTTTTTCAATTAGATCATCTAATACTAAATTATCATCTCGGGTGAAATAACAAATTATTATATAGGATTCTTATACTTTTTTTATTTGAGAATTTGTAACATAATTATTATTGTATTATAATGAAATTTTAGAATTTATAATATTTAATAATAGTCTATTCTAATTTAGTTTGCTATTTGTCTTCTAAAGTCTGATTGGCATGAAAAATTTGAAGGGTAGCTTCTTTTAGAACCGATAAAGCAAATAATAAATTTTAGAAAACAAATTTTATAAATTTCTTTATAATTTGAAAAATCATGCAAGCTCATTTCATTCTATAGGATTTTGTATTTTCATTCATTAATAAAGAGAATTTTGAGTTCAAGTAATAAACAACATATTATACGCCACGATTTCTCACCTTTTGGCTACTTTTTAAATACATATAGAACTCTAATTCTTAATTTTACTAACCAAAATTACGCACAAACTTTATTCAAAGATATAATATATCAGAGCATACTCCCTTAAAATAACCTTTTTGATTGTGGAAATTCACTTTGTATTGGGTTAAAATAGCTATATCAAATTAATGTAAACAAAAATCCAATAAAATGTTTTTATATTATAATTCATATTATTAATATTAATACTGTTCATTATTATTTGTACCTTCTTATTTATAATTTAATTCATTTATAATCCCATGTAATCAAATACCCTCCATCATCACTCATTCTTACATATATTTGATATTCATCGTTATGAATAGACTATTCAGTTACAAATTGTCCATTTAATTGTTTTCTTATCAATTAGACTTTTTCGCTTATCTTAGTCATAAGGATACATTGTGAATTGATAAATTATTAAGGAAATAAAAAAAATTATCCGATCCACAGTTTACATTAATATCACTAGTTTTTGTAAATTATTAATTGATACTATTAATCTCAAAAATTGATAACGATTCTTTCTCAAATTATGAGAATGTGAACATATTATTATCAAAAAAGCATACCCAATGTCCAAACTATTCTACTGTTATCTTTTATATTACAAATCCATTATTTATTTTATCTTTATTCTTCCAATACTAAAAAAAATTATCACTGCCACAAGAGAAAATTCTATCATCTATCTCTTTATGATGATCTGTAATTGTTTACTAACGCATCCATTCATTATTTTTCATCCAAAATGGCATCTCTACACCCTGATACAATTAGATCTTCATTATTATTTAATATTAAACAATAGATAGAACCACCATATCCATTTAATATTTATTAGCAAATCCATTAATTATTTGAATTGTATTCCCATACAATAATAGAACCATCATTACTCCCAGATATAAACTAATTTGATTTATCCATGAATCTAGAGTAAATATATTACTCTGAAATTAACTTAAAATTTAACTTTCTTTGGTCATTCCTTGGTTGAAATCAAATACTTTAATTTTTGAATTACATCCAGTCAATAATATTGAACAATCTTTTCTTTTTATCTTTATTTAAGGATTTGTCATTCAACTTGGTTTAATGGTTAATGTTTAATTTTATTAATGGGGATAAGTCTTAATATAATTATTAAGTGAAGTTTAAACTGTCAAATGTAATTTAATATAAATTAAAGATGAATAATGAAGGCTATCTCTAACTTGTCCTTTCATAATGAATATTCAATACATCAGAACTATGATTAAGAAGCTCTCTAAAAGTTACTTTTATTGCTCAAAGTTTAATTTATTAGATACATTATTGGAAATAAAAATTCAATCTTGATATGATATTTGATGGTTTATTTTTCTTTATTGATTATTCATAAATATTTTCAAAATGAATTTTATTTTTAATTTATTTAGCCATGAGGACTTCAAACTTTGATATATTAATATTATAGAAAGATTTTTCTAAGAAATAATTAGATAATTTTAATGCCTAATCGAATCAATTATAAATATAAGTATTTCTTCGTAAATGTATATTAGATAGTTTGGTTTTAAGGTTATTAACAGGTCCTAGTTTAGAGAAAATTAATGTTTGGATCAAATAGAAATACAAATCAAACATAAATGTTAAGAGGAATATTAATAAAATGAAAATATATCTTCTGATTCTATAAAATAAGGTCTAGAGAATAAAAATAGAAAATAAGAAATTTTAATAAAAAAGCAATATCTATCTTCCAAAACTTTAAATATGCGAAAAGGCTTATACGTCTAAATTTTTAAAGTGTTGCAGTAAAGATCAAGGAGGTAGATAATCAAAAAAACGAATTCTAATACATAGAAATGTTACTAATTTTATAGATTGAAAGATTAAAGGGTAAAATTTTCAATTAACTATCAAAAGCTAGCAATTATATTTTCAATGCTGATAGATTTAATCTTTCCTTTAAAATGACGACACAACTAATTTACAATAAAAATTATTTATTTTAATTCTAATAAACTATTTTTAATAAATCTCCAAAAAAATGAAAAAATTAAAGTTCTAACAATTGTTACTTACTTGTTCTTTTTATGGGATATTTTTTAAATATGAGATGATCTATTAGTATAATTATACTATGAATTTCTCTTTTTTACTTACTTGAAACGTATAAAATCAACTTATTATTAGATAATGATCTTTATGTCATAAAAAAAATCCTTAAATAGTGATTATCACTAATTGAAAATAGTGAATCTTGGTTGTGCTTTTATAAGGGAGCTGTGTTTGGCCCTTTTGAAAAAACGAATTTTAGAATCTTTAGAAAATGATCATTCAATTACACTATTTCTTTACTTAGAGATATTAGAGTGTAGAGTCACAGAAAGTACAGCAAGTTCAAATCTTATTTAAATAACAACTAATCGCCATTTTATATCGGTACCTCAAGAGAAGATTTATAATTATCCATTTAATTGTAGTGGGCTTGTGTTATGCAATTGTAAACCAAAGAATACTATTATAATTTTATCCAATTGCCCTGAAAATATACTTTCTACTGAAAACAGTCATGTTAAATATGTTTGTGATTAACAAACTAAATATTTGAATAAGATTATATTTTCTATCATATGGTTTGTTGAAGTAATTAATTTGAATAATTTGAGAAATATGTATATAATTTTTTTCAACAAAAGTTCCTCGAAAAAGATGAAACTTTACGAATTTTGGTGATTACAAATATAAATATTGGCATTAATTCGTTCTGAACTATAATGTTCATAAAATCTGAGCTTGGAGCTTCTTGCCCTGCAAATCTTTTCAAAATTTTTGAATATTACTCAGATAAGTGATTATTTTCTCAAGTTTGGGGTTTGGGTTTGGGGTTGGGTTTGGGTTTGGGGTTGGGGTTGGGTTTGGGTTTGGGTTTGGG